CCAGCCCTGCTTCCTCTCCCTCCAGCTCTGAGAGGATGCTCCCTCCCTTCAGTCTGGACACTTGTCCCTGTGGCCTCCCATCCCAGAGCTGCACCAGGGACCCCAGGGCAGAGGAGTGGAGGACTAGGGACAGTGGGGGACTAAGCTTCTGGGACTGAATGCCTTTCTGAGTGTTTATAAACCCAGTGTCTGCCTGTCACCCTGGGATTCCCTGGAGCCATAATTTTAAGCTTTTTGCTTCAAATAAATCATTTTCTTTCTTTAAAATAACAGTTTAAAAATAAATCTGTCAGGTTTTCATTCCTGGCAAGTTTCAGTCACCTCTCTTATTTTAGTAGATGGTTCCAGTGCCTTCAACTTTTCCACAAAACAAAAAACTTTCTGTTGCTCTAACAAAATACCCAAGACTAGTCAAATTATAAAGAGAAAAGGTTTGGTTTGGCTGACACTCATCTGTCATCTGACCACATGGCCTTTAGGGAATGTCACAGGTCCAAACAATCCTTCATAACCACAAAGATGAATGTACATAAGAAAGTAAAGGTTTATTACAACACTTTAGAGCTGCACAAATCCTTACAATTAGCCAGGCTTCATTCTCACAACCACAGGCACAGTCATGGTGGCCCTGCCCACCCTACAGATGAGGAAACTGAGGCTCAAAACTACATCTGGCTGCCCAAAGTTACTGGTCATTTCAGCACTGACCTCCCAGGCCCCAGCACTGCCTGCATTTCTGTATCAAACTGGTCTCCAGGGCTTGATAAAGTGTCAGAAAAAACAACCTTAACTGGCTTTGGAAGGATAAAACAGTGGCTGGCATTTATGATCAGTTAGCCAGTTGCCCCTGGCAACTGCTATTAGATCTCAAAGGTCCCTGGAAATCTCACCATGGAAGGTGGGGCCTGGTGGGACTGGGAGGGACCTGAAAGAGTGAATTCCTCCACGGTGCTGGATCTGCCTTGGGGCCAGCCTATCATGGACTGAGCCCATTGACACTGTGAGCTAAAACAAACCTCTCCTTTAAATTGCAATGTTGTACTTTGTCCCTGAGACCAGGAAAATGCATAAGGCAGGACATTAGTGCCTAGTACACCTACACAGCATTCAAAGGCCCTTGAGGAGAGGGGGTCTCTACGATGGGAACAAGGTCCCACCTTCCACCCCAAAGTGAAAGGGAAAGAGGAGGTGCTCCCTCCTTACTCCCTGGAAGCCTGGATGTGGATTTATGGAGCACAGCAGAGATGAGGCCATCCAGGACGGTGTCCACACAGGGTGACACTGGGCAGAGGCGGTGCTCAATGGGGCCACTCGGGAATGGTGAGTGCGTGTGGACTCTGGAATTGGACACACAGCAGCTGGGGCTGAGGGGTGGCAGGTTCTGCTCTCTCCTCCAAGCACCCAGCTTCTTCTCAATGCAGTGAGCATTTTAGATCTAGTAGCCAAAGGCAGGTGGAAGCTGCCTAGTGGGCTGCCTTCTTTATAAAGATCACAGAGTAATTTAATGCCCAGGGCAATGTCCAGCCCTGAGTCAGAATTCCTGGAAATTCTGAGCAGCTCCCTACACTGGCTTCCTCCTCTGAGGTCCCTAGTATCCTCTCAGAGCTGGTGTCCAGCTCAGGGACCTCCAGGCATGTGTCAGTGTTGAGACAAGCTTTCTACCCCCTCAGGAGTCTGATGCTTTGAAACACAGCTCCAGGGAAGTCTTCCATCTGTACACCAGCACTCAAGCTGCACCCCAGACCACAGCATGTGACTGACACGGGCTCCGAATGACCCATACTCTTCTCAGGCATGAGCCACCTTGCTGGTGGCTCAGTGCTGTGCTCTGCTGTTGTCTCCCCTGTTCACATTGACTGTAACACAGAGGCCACAGTCAGGACAAGTGTTCAGGAGGGGTTTCTGTATCTGGAAGAGGCACCCCTGAGGCCTGTTGGGCTGGGGCACAGTCTGCACCCCAAACTGTGTCCCCCAAAGAGTCCTCTGAGTCACTGTTGGACTCAGCTCTAAGGACTCCCTTGCATCACGTGACCATCACAGAGACTCCAAATACAAAGCCTGTGTTTCTCCCACCGGAAAGGCAGGACCTACGCCCATACAAAGTGGGGTCCACCCTGGAGTCTATTCCAAAGTCCTCCCAGGACCCCAACCCCTCTGAGGCACAGTTCCCACTCATCATCACCCATGTGAAGTGACTTCTCTTCCCGGTAATGCTGTCTCCTCACAGTGCACCAAGCTTTTAGTATAAGTTGCTGTCTCCAAAAGGACAGGGCCTGTTCCCCAGACAGGATCGCACAGGGGACTTACAAGCACACACAGAGGCAAACACCTCCAGGGCTCCTGTTCTCATACAGACCACAATATTAGCTGTACATGGAAAGACCACCCCCAAAGTGACCCCAGCACCAACGCTCTCTGCTATTCTCTTCCGGGGACGCTCCGAGGTGACCGGCGGGCACGGAGCCCGTGGTGGAAATGCCCAACCCAAACAAGAGGTGTTCAAAGCATCTGCTGCAGACAGCTGCAACTTTGCCCAGAGTGGCCCATGGGTGGAGGTGGGCGAGGGTCCGGCTGCCACTGGAGTTGACAGATTTAACTCTGCCTGCCCGAGGACAGGCCACTGCACTCAGCCGTCTGCGTCAGGGAATGGGCTTGTTTCTTTGCAGTGGCGTCATGGTCTGTGTGCAGTGAACGAAGAACCTCCTACTCCGCCCACTTCTGAGCCCGAAGGCCCCCTACAAAGCCCGGATCGGGAATAAATGCGAACATCTGCTCTGAGCGAGGTGCCGTCTGCATCTGGAGGACTAACGCGAGAGATGGGGCAGCAGAGATGCCCAGGATGGGGCATGGGTCTGGGCCGCAGGAGCTCTGGCCAGCATGGACGACTGGAGTCAGGAGGGCGCTCGCCTGGTCCTGAGACCTCTGGAGGCAGGGTCAGTGCCCCAGCCCAGCAGTCTCGTTGCCCATCCTGTGGGTGCTGCCCGCTTCCACCCCAGGTGGCCCCCAGTGTCCCTCCGAAGTTGTCACCTTTGAGCCTCACTGCTGAGGGGCCCAAATGCCACACTGTGCTTCTGTCACCTGCTTTTGCATTTGGGGACAGGCCGGCAGTCACTGCTTCCCTTTGTACGGGACAGTTGGGTAAGGGGCGTGCATGGCTGGGGAACTGGGGGGCCCAGGGGGCCACTACTCCAGGACCAAGTCACGGCACATTCATCTCATGCTCCAGGCTGTGAAGCTGTGACAAAGAAACATGCAGCGCTGCAACTGCCCTGTGGTGCTGTTTGTTACGGCACCCGACCTTCCAGGAGGGTCCAGGCCTCGGCCCACAGGCCCCGCGTCCTCGCTGTTTGTGCCATGCAGCCCGCACATGGGAGTCCGCTGTCGCCTGCTCCTGGAGCTCAGCTGTCCCGAGCGCTGTCCCTTGCCTGCTGGGGCCCCGAGCTCCTCATCCATGTGCTTGTCTTGTTTTACTTACTCAGCTACATAACTGAGAGGACACCGACTGGGGTGCTGGGCTACAGCAGTGACCACGTCACACCCTGTCCCGTCCTCCAGGACCTGGAGCCTGATGGTTGATGCGGTTACAAGGAGAGGCAGGAGAGGAGGACAGTCCAGGAGGAAGAGGGACCATCTGGAAGAAGAAGCCTCTTCTGTCCTCTTTTCTCTACAACCAGTCCAGAGGAGGATTTCTGTGTGAGCAGGGTCCGCTACCTCCCATGGGCTCCCGGGCCTGAAAAGCTGACATTTTCCTTCTTACCCAACAATTCCCTGCCTGCCAGGAAGCCTGGGCTGGGGCTGGGGCAGTGTGGTGGCTGCTGCTACCGAGAATCCACAGGACCCAGAGCAGCTGCAAACAGCAGGTGAAGGAAGGAGTGTCCCAGTCCGACCTCCTCCCTGTGGACCGGGCTGGGGGCCCCCAAGGGTCTCTGACTCCCGGGCATGGTCACTGGGCATGAGCGCGAGGCCTCTTAGCTCTTCCTTCTCTTTCTCTGACTCCTTACTTCTTTGTGGTTGTTAGTTTTTGTTTTTTGAGACAGAGTCTCGCTGTGTAATTCAGGCTGGCCTTGAATTCACTGTATTGCTCAGGCTAGGCTTGAATGTGCAATCCTCCTGCTTCAGCCTCCCCAAGTGCTGGGATTACAGGTGTGCCACTATGCCTGCTTCCTCTTTACTGTGTGAGTACGGTATTTTCTGACAGGCATGGGTGGAAAGAACAGACATTCAGGGACCTTCGTGTGACCGGTGGCTGCCTGACTCACCTCCCACACTCCAGTTCGAAGTGTGAGTTGTTGTGCTGTCTCTGCCCTGGGCTGGGATCCAACACCGACTCACAAGGCAGGGTCCCTGACTTGTGCTGCAAGGTCACTGCTGGCCCCTCCATCACCCACTCCTACGAAGCCTGCAGAGCTCCCACAGGTGTGAGCTCTTCTCTTGCCGCTCCTCTGTTCCCCTTTGTCTCCCACGTTCAGGCCACTTGCTCTCCTTCCTTGTCTTCTTTAGGATTTTCTATGACCATTTCTCCTCATTTTGCAAGGTTTTTTTTTAAGCATTAGAAAAAGACCTCAGAATTTTTTTTTATGAGGAACTCAGAATTTATTCACCTGTCACTCAAGGGAGGAAGAGGGGGAAGGCTGTAAGATTCATGAAGGACAGCAAGAAGACATTTAACCTTCACAGGCAGACAGGGCCTGCGTTCTCTCTACTTTTGTGCATGTTGGGAAACTCTCAGGCTGATAGCATCTTAAACAACCAAGGAGAAGTAAGTTCCATGAAAGCCCCAAAGGGCATTTGAAAAATTCCCAAAGTCATGGACACTGAAGACTTCCAAGAGACAGAAAGCCAGGCATGATGGTGCATGCCTGAAATTCCCACACTCGGGAGGCTGATGCAGGAGGATCGATGCAAGTTCAAGGACAGCTGGGCTGCATGGTGAGCTCAAGGTTGGCCTAAATGTCTCAAAAACAAAACAGCTGGGTATGTAGCTCAGTGGTTTTGCTGCCTGCCTCACGAGTTCAAGGTCTCGAGTTCAACTCCCAATACCAAAAACAAAACAAAAACACCAAGAGGGGATGGAAAAATCAGTTAGGCACAGCTTAAATTACTGGGTTGTGAAAACTTTAGAAAACATTAGAACTTTAAAATAAGGGATTCGTGTACAAAACCACCCTTTTACCCAACAGGAATGGGCACAGCATATTCAAACGTGGGTCAAAAACAATCCATGTGGCCGCCTGCCCAGTACAGACGGTCAGTGTAGCTGCAGTCTGGGGACACGCCAGTACCCTCCCCACTCCCTTTAGGGGGTCACTCCACAGGTCTTCTGAACCCCACAGACACTCAGAATCACACACAGAAATTTTAAGGCATCAAACCAGTAGTCTTACTATTTTCAAGTTAAACAGTTTAGGAATATTTGGAGTTTTAAAAATATTCATCATTTGGATCATTACAACAAAAGGCCTGTCTGATTTTATCAGTTATTTGAAATTGACTAATTGATTTAGACTTGGGATGTTACAGAGACATGTTACTAAATTTTTTGCAATACTGGCAAATCTAAAAGAATTTAAGAATCTCTGCTTATAAAGTTAATATCTTAAATAATTGAGTAAGTGGGAAACTTTGGCTTACTAATCAAATCACTGAAGTGTTCTTGAAGAAAATCAACCATGCTAAATTCATACAAGCAGCTTAAAATAGCCAAAGGTGTTTAACATTTACTTATGCTAATCAAAGGCTTGGTAAAAGGAAGTGCTACAATGTAGCAATCTTATAAGCAAAACTGAAATATAAAGAATTAGTTATTCAAATTTGCAGCTTTGATAAAATGAAGGCGACTTTTAAAAGCTTCTTTAAAGTAAATTTCTGAATTACATTTTCTGTACAAAAGTTAACCTTGAACACGCCAAAACTCTCACATTTAACTCAGTGGGTGTCTTAGTCACTATCTTGTTGCTGGGAAAAAATATCTGACTCTCACAACTTAAAGGTTCATATTTTCATTTCAGGGTTGGCTGCCTCCACAGCAGGGCAGGGTGGTGGAAGGGTCTTGCGGAAGAGAGCTGCTCTGGGTATGGCATACAGGAAGCAGAGGGAGAAGAGAGGAGCCAGGTGGGAAGACCGACCCTTCTAGACCCCGCCCCCAGGCCACGCCCCTTCCACCCAGGCCCCACCTCCCAGCCGGAAGTCAGACATTTTGACCTCATTTAATCCTCTTCCAAAAGCCCCACCTCTGGGCCCAGGAGGCCTTTGGGGAACCTTCTCCGTCTACACCAGGCCAAGGGGAAAAGGCAGAGAGCAGCGTCTGCGATGTGGTGACTGAGAGCCTTTCTTTAGAAAGTCCTGCACCCAGCTTTGAGTCTCCATCCCTCGCCCTGGGCTCAGTCACCTCTTGTGGGTGTGAGGCCCGCCTGGGGCTGTGTCAGCTCTGTGCCCGGAACCACCCCACCACCCCGCAGTGCCTCGGATTCCTCGGCTGTGACCCCACCGATACCCTCTCCACCCATCCCTCCAGCCTTTGCGGTCTGACTCCGGACACCAAAAGAGAGGCATCCTCTTCACCCTTCCGCACCCCACGGAGGTGCAGCTCCAAGCAGAAAACGACGAAACGCTGAAAATTAGTGCATCAAAACTCAGAGCACTATAGATCTATGTGATACCAAAATTGAACTGTAATTTTACTTAAATGTCAGGTAATTAAAATTATTTAAGATTATCCATTGATGAATAAAAGGGTAAAACACGGTGGTTCTCTCAATGAAAAATAAGACAGGAAGGGCCGGTGGAGTAGCTCAGTGGTGAGCACTTGTCTAGCGTATTCAAGCCTTGGGCTCCATCCCCAGTAGCACGAAAAGATGAGCGAATGAGCAGATTTTGAAGACACAAGTGGTACATTTGCTCTCACAGAGGGTGGCAGAGTGTTTTGCCCTACTCAGCCCAAAGCCATCCAGAAGCTAAGTTGGAGACAGGCTCTCTGCAGATGTCCCTGCATCGGGGACCTGGAAATGAGATCACCTGAGAGTCCACCCCATGGCCCTAAACCCAGTGCAAGTGTCCCTCTAAGAAGGGAGGGTGAGGGCACGTGAAGACGCAGGCAGAGACCTGGATGACGAGCCACAAGCCCAGGAACCCCCAAATTGGCAGCAATCATTAGGAGCTGAGGGGACGCGCAGAACTGCTGACGGCCTACATGTTCTGCACTCTCGCGTACTTCTGATTTTTTAGGACTTTGCCACTTTCATGTGGATCCCTGGGCTGTGCAGAAGTCTGCTGGCAGCCTAGTACCCCACCCTGCAGACGTGTCAGGGACACAACGCCTCTGCACGCTGTGCAGGTCCTGGTGGCCAGCTGACGGCCAGGCTACTGATACAAGCACGTGGCACTAGCAGAAGGGACGGGCACGGGAGGGGGTAAGCCAGGGGGTGGCACCACCCCGGACAGAAGGAAGGGCAGAGGACAGCGGATCTGGCTCTCTCCTGAGCGGGCACCCCATCCCCCCCACACCTCCGTCCCAGCCCTTCCAGCCCTGCAGTCCAAACTCTGCCTCCGCTACTGTCCACACCGCCACACTCCCCGGTTCTGCTGCCCACTGAGAGCCAGTGTGGGACCAGCACAGGGATGGGGGGATGTTGCTGACGTGGCATTTGTCCTGGGCCAGGCCTTCAGCGGCAACAGTGGCCGGTCATCTCTGGGGAGCACGCGCTTACCTGCCGCCCTCCATGGAAAGCTGACTGGCTTCCGACGTCCTCACTCGGTCCTCACTCGTGACTCAGTGGGCCGGGCATGGCGGTACACGCCTGTAATCTCAGCTACTCTGGAGGCCGAAACAGGAGGGTTGAGGTTCAAGTCCAGGGTGGACAATTTAGCAAGACTCTGTCTAAAATATAAAGAAAAAAAGAAAGAAGTCATTTTCCAGGTGAGCTCTACACATCAGGCTGGGGCCGAGCTGATTCCTCCCAGGGAAGATCTGGACTGCCAGATGCCTTCAGATCATATCACGCGTGAGCAGGTTGGGGAACCCCCGCCACGCCCTGGGATCCCCAGCTCTCCAGCCAGATGGGGCACTGTGCAGTCCTTGCTGTGAATCCCCGCCCCACCCCAGCGCCTGCTGTCCAAGTTCCATGTGGCTGTTTTTTTAGAGCCCAAGTGACGGGAGACAGTGTCTTCGTCCCTCTGACCCATCTGTCCACCTTCCGGACGCCGGGTGTGCCGTTCTCACCCATGTCCTGGCCACAGACCCGCTGGATGGTGAGGGGGACCTGAGCCAAGCCCCCTCATTCTCAGGGGTTGGTGGAAGTTCAAGATTCGTGCCCAGGCGTCCGTCATGGGCACGGCTCTGTCTCCCTGCACCCCGAAGGGCTCGCCGCAGGCCCCTTCCTCTCAGGACCCCACCCCCTTCAACAGAGGTCCCCGGAGTCTGGCTTTAGATCCAGATGGGGGTTGTGAGTCCAACTGTGGCGGCTCGAGATGTGTTTCCACCTACGAAATCAAAATCTGAATTTTCCTAAGCAGATACGATAAGTGTGTTTCCCCTTGCACACGTCTCTCTTGGTTGGCTGACCACCTTGTCACTGGTGTTGACCCTGTGATCCATAAGCCATTGCCACAGCCCCTTACCGGTCCAGTCACGCATTCCCAGCCCTTCCCAGCGTGGCGTGGGAGCGGTGCCTGTTTACCTCTGATGACACAGCTCTTGACCTCTGCTGCTTGGGAGGATTCGTCTCAGAAACGCAGAGTCTCAGAGTCAGGCATGGTGGCACAGGCCCGTAATCCCAGCACTCGGGGAGGCTGAGACAGGAGGATTGCAGGTTTGAGCCCAGTCTGGACAACTTAATAAGACCCTCTCTCAAAATTTTAAAAAATGTTTAAAGGGCTTGGGGGAATGTAGGTCAGTGCAAAGGCCCTGGGTTCAATATCCAGCACAGAAAGAAAAAAGAAAGATGGGAAGGAAGAAAAGAAGGAAGGAGCCCAGCCGAACACTAAGAGCCTCCCAGTCTAAGGCCAACACGCCCCGCAGTCCCGGCCCTGGCTGCCCACAGAGTCACCCCACGGCCAGAACTGACCCTCAGTGTCTCATCAGGGCCTGTGGAGGGGCCTCGTGCGCTGTGGCAGAGCAGCGCTTCGGCCCAAACATCCCGAGTACTGGTCACCGTCCCATGGCCGAGGACCTGGGCATGACGGAGCCGGGCACCCCACAGCCGCTCTCCCTCCACCCCTCTTCGTCCTCCTGCACACACGTGCAAGGTCCTGGCTGCTTTCTTCCAGCGCCTGGGCCGGCTCCAGACCCTCCAGGAGCTGCTAGGAACAGAGTCCCCTACCCCGGGCCACCGGTCAGAGCCAGAATCTGGGATTGAACCCAGGGCTTTTGCACGGAGCTACATCCTCAGCCCTTCTGTATTTTTTTTATTGGGATAGGCTGGGCTCAAATGTGTGATCCTCCTGTCCCGGCCTGAGCGCTGGGATTACAGGCCTACCCATCACAGCATACTAAGAGCTCGCATCTCAGTGGGCCAGTGGAGGGGTGCAGCGGTGCGGGAGTAGGGAAGGTGCTCAGAGAGGCAGCATCAGCGGGGGAGGCAGGGCCTGGCCATCCCGGTGGGGTGGTTCAGGCTGGCAGCTGGCAACACTCCACTCAGAAGTCTTAGGGGTTCGGCAGCCCCCGGACCCGCCCACGGGATGCCGAGAGCCCTTCCCAGCTGTGACAATCTCAGAGGCCCCACACAATCCGAACGTCCCCTTGGGTGGCGTCGCTTGGCTGCGAAGTCACCGGCATGGTGGCCTGGCAGCAGATGTGCCCCTCGCCCTCTGCCCTCCATCTGCCCAGCCCTGGTCTCAGTGACTCCTTCCCCCCCCCACCGACTGCAGGCCACACCAGCACT